GAACAGAAGTAGTAGCTATGGAAAGAGGCTGATTTATTTCAGGTCTAGCATTATAATCTAAAGGATAGGAGATCTGAATCAAGTAGACACAAAAGCAAGCAGAAATTCTCCTGACATACAGTAATTGTTACTTTGGCCAGGCATGGTGACACATGCTTGTGATCCCAGCACTCTGGAAGTTGAGGCAGGAGAATTTCAGGGAGTTCAAGGCTAGCCTGGAGTACACAGTGAGTTCAACACCAGCCTAAACTACATAGTGAGACCCTGTCTCAAAAAAAAAATTATTACTTTAAAGAACATTAATTCCTTAGACTTAATTTAGTTTAAGAATTCGGCCCTCTTTTGTGCATTTTTTGAGCTGTCATTATAGTTATCGCTATGGTCACTCCCTTCTAACCACACTACCAACCAAAGGGAAATCTGATTTGATATGAAAATATTATTCAGGTATATTTGAATAATGTTATTTCAGTGTCACCAACAAAATACGTAAGTGGACCAGAAAGTGCTGCATGAAACAGTTCTTGATTTTAGCTTACAGTTCTCCCTTCTACATACTCCAGTGTTCATAATTTGTCCTTACTTAGACCTTTTTCTTCTCCTTCACTTTTTTTGACCTTGATGCCTTCCCTTTCTGAAGTTGTAATGCTGCACTTGTTTAGATCTATTCAAAGGGAAAGCAGCTATTTTCTTCCTAGAGGAGGCAGCTAGTATTAAAGAGGCCCCCTTTTTAGGGTGTCCTACTTCGTATACGTTTCTTTCCTCTCCAGTGTCTTCTGGACCTAATATCCATCACAGTGGCCTATGCTTGAATTTGTTTTCCTGAAATTTGTTTTCTTAAAAATAAATAAATGAACTTCAGTCCATCTATTATAGGTTGAGTCTTCCAAAAATAAAGTCCTAAAGTACCTGTGAAAGTGATCCTATTTGGAAATAGGGTCATTGAAGATGTAATCAAGTTAAAATTAGATCATTAAGGTAGACTCTAATCCAATGTGACTGGTGTCCTTATGAGAACAGAAGCCAGAGACACACAAAGAGAAAACAGCCATGTGACCTTGGAGTGATGCAACAATAGCTTACAGATCTGTGGGGGTACTAGAGGTGAGGAAAGGCAATGAAAGAATCTCCCTCTAGAGGATTCAAAGGGAGCAGGGCCCTGCCAACACTTTGATTTAATAAGCTTAGCCTCTAGAACTGTGAAAGTATAATTTCTATTGACTTAAGTTACCCAATTTATGATACTTCACTATGGCAGTCTTGTAAACTAATATGCCACCCTACATCCCTTAAATAAGCCTTGAGAATAGCTCTCTGTTCTGCTGGCCAGACCTAATACTGTCTCCCACTGAACAGTGATATAACTGGCTACTTGGAGGGGGAAAACATTCACCATTTCTTTGCTTTCTCCTTTTGTGTAATGGTGCTTCTGTTTGTTTAATTGTTTGTTTACTGTCACATTCACCTGTTACGAAGCAAACCCAAAATAGTACTAAGGCAAATACTTTCAGCTGAATAATGCTACAAAAATTTTAGTATCATGTACTTTTCACTCACATGCCAATTCAGCTCTTTCACTACTCACAGGAAATGTGCTAGGAATCAACAGCATTACAAGTAATAAAATTTTTAGTAGGAATGATGACTTTGGAAATTTTATAAAACAACTGTTAGTTACTGGAATAGACATATCTTAAGGTTCATGAAAACTTACTATTATACATTTTAGCATCTGTTATCCATATTAAAGAGTTTTTAAGTATATTTTTTTAGCAAAACACTTTCTTCCCTTTTTTAATTTCACAAGTAAATATTAATATATACTAATTGTGGAAACCCCAAACAATTTAGTGTACAAAGTAGAAATTCCTCTTGACTCTCTTTTTCTAGCCCATTTAACTTTCCAGAGTTAATCATTGGTAATTCTGAGGTATAACCTTTAAAACGTTTTCTAACACATTGCCCTATGTATTTCCTATAGATATACTTTTAAGTTTGTAAACAAAATAGATAATTCTACATAAATCTTTCTGATACCATTTTTCCACTTAACATCTTGATGACCTTTCATGTCGATATATATAAGCTCATTCTTTTTAATGTGCCCCCAAAATAGGTGCTTCAGAACTAATTGAAAATTCCATTTTTACAGATATTTAGATATCTCCTTTTTCACAATTACAGTGATAAATTTGAACATTATTGTACATGCATTTATGACCACAAAAGTATTTCCTAATATAGACATTTATAAATAGATTCTCTGGACCAAAGGGAATATATATTTAAAATGTGTCAGTGACTGCCAGACAAACATCCAAAAATCTCATAGTTGTCAGTCAATGTCCATGTCTCTGAAATCTCACTAACTCTGGATACTCTGAATTGTTAATTTTAGATAATTTCATGATTCCCATAGTTCAACATGTAATTGTTAAACATCTATTATGCAACAGGTACTCTGCAAATGTGATGCACTCAGGGTATTACACAGCCACAATTCTACATACCCTTGCTCCATTATTTGTCTTTAATACTTTTTAAAGTAGACATAATATTGATTATGAAACTCACCAACCATATTGATCAAGCAGTTGTTCAACTATCCTGAAATGTATTTTTTTTTTGGTACTGGGGATCAAACTTGGGTCCTTGTGCTTGTGCAGCAGGCAGCGAAACCACTGAGCTAAATCCCTGGCCCCTGTGCTGAAATATACTCTCAAGTGGTACAAATTTTATATACCCGTTTCCTTGCAAGAGAAAATTATTCTTTTCACAAAATGCTGTTGAAAAACAAAGGCCAGAGATTGTTATTAGCTGGAAGATCTTAATCAGCTATTCAGCCTTTCTGAACTTCTGCTCCTACTGTCCACAGTGAGAATAATAGAGGTGCTTACCTTTTAGGACTGATTTGAGGTTATAATGAGATAACATGTAATAAACAGTAAACAAATATCTGATAAGAATAGGTAACATTAGAAAGCATACAATATACCAGGAGTTGTTCAGGGGTTTTATATGTATTTTTAAAAAAGAAGAACAGTTCTAGTGTCCTCATCAGGTCAGGTCATTGGCTGTGAGGAGTCAGGGTATGTGAGGAGGAGGAGAAGGCTTGTAAACTTTGCCCCAGATAAAATCTAAATGTGGGGTCCGCTAGAGGCAGTCAGCCAACTATGCATCTCATCTCAGGTTCTCTTGAGCAAATCGCCTCTATGGCTGCCTAATAGTAAGACAAGAGAGGGTATAGTGGTATAAAAGACCTGATATTTTTTATTTGCTGGTTGATTTTTTATGTATAGAAAGCAAGCTCATCAACTAACAGAGTGGGGGAGAGCGGTAGGTAGAAAAGTTGGGGTTTGAAGATAAAAGTGGAGGCATGATGAAATTATCTAGAAGAGTAGGAGGGTAAAAGGACCAAGGATGTGTAGTTTGATTACCAAGCAGAATAAAGAGGCCATCAGACAGCAAGAACTTAAAGTGAGACTCAGCAGCAGCATAGTTATGGGTTTTTCTCCACCTTCACTAAGCTGCACAAGTCCAATCTCAGAATAAAGACTTCAATTAAAGCATGGTAGGAATTTTCCTAGGTGTGTGGAGGAAGTGAAAAAAGGGCAAAAGTCAGTACAAGCAAATAACCAATACACATTAAATATCCTTTATCCAACATGTTTGGGACCAGAAATGTTTCAGATTTTGGATTTTTTTTTAAATTTTGGAATATTTGCAAATATGTAATGAGATATCTTGCAGTGGAATCCAAGTCTAAGTACAAAATTGATTTATGTTTTATATATACTTTATACACATACCTGAAGGTAGTTTATACAGTGTTCTTAGTGCACCTGTATTTTGACTGCAAATCATCACATGAGGTCAGTTGTGGGATTTTCCACTTGGGGCATCATGTTCATATTCAAATATTTTGGATTTTGGATTTTTAAATTACGAAGCTCAACCTCCGCAATAATCAATCTTGGAATTTAAACTTGGTAACCAAGGAAATAAAGATATGGGGGTGGTGAGGGGAAACAGAAGAGAATTAATGCTTTGGTTCCAGTAGGAACTTACTTGAAGGATCCTTAGAGTTAGGATACAATGAGAGTGAACTAGAAATAGTAGAGTTGAAACTACAGATGGCAGCAAGGTTGCAAGAAATCTTATTACCAGCTTGCCCACCATATTCCCATCATTCCCAAGAGCCTTTGCCTTTTAAATCACAGTGCAAGTCCTATTTTGTAGAATTATCCCCATTAACTTAGACTAGGTTCTGTAACAATGAGAAGTCTTCTCTTGCATAATCCCACCCCACATTTTGTGGCTTATAATTACAGATATTTCCTAAATTTATCAAAAATGAGATTTACGCTTTTGTTTCTCATTCTTCTTATTACATTTGGGTGATTACTGAGGACAGGGAAACTATTTTCTTCCATCACACACACAAAAAATACAAGCTAGTATTTTAGTGTGTATTCCCTTTACACTAATGCCCTTTTAATTTTAAGAAAGCAACTTCTTGCATCCACATCATATTATCTGGAATGTTCAGTCCTGTCTAGAGGATGTTGATGAGACAAAAATGCCAAGGAATAACAAGCCTATCTACCCCCATTTTCTTGTGAACTTTGACAATAAAAGCACACAAGAGCGTTCCCACTGGAAAGTAGGATTGGCCCAGTTAAGTGGATTCTTGGGGGAAAAAATCACTCTGGGTTATTAATATACTAGTATTTTGATACTAGTGCAAAAAAGAATGATAAGAAAGAAACCTCTGGGGAATAAGGTTTTGAAAACAGTAAAACAAAATTTGTAATTGTTTACCCAATCCCACACAGGTTGGTCAAGATTATTTCCTTTAGGACTGGCAGGGATGGCTCTGTGGACTGGGAAGGACAAACTAGTTGCAAGGGCGATGCCAGATCTCACCAAGAAAATTATACTGAAGCAACCATTGTCTCTCAAACATTCTCTTTGTTTTCACTTGACTGAATTTTTACTAGGTTGCCTTGCAGACCACATATTAGAAGATGAAGACAACACTCCCGCCACTAGGCTACCATCTGGCAGTGACAAGAGTCAGACAGACACGAAGTTTGGATGTGGTAAGATGTTCCCAACGTATGATTGAGTGAAGCAGAGGATACAGAGCAGCGTATATGATGTGATCCCACTTTTTAAAACAAAGAAAGAAGAAAATAAGGAAGGAAAGAAATTTGGTATATATGTGAAGAAATTTTAAAAATATGTTTTTATGAGAATATGCTAATAGTGGTTGTTTCTGGGTGACGACCTTATAGGTAATTTAGTTTCCACATTTTGCTTTTGTAACCTATTCTAAATTTTTACATAATTAGCATTTACTTATATTTAGACATAAAAATTTACTTCCTCTGTTAATTCTGAATCCATCTTCCCATTTTTATTTCCATTTCCTTGGGACTATGACTCATAGTAAACTAACAACAAAAGTTTTTAATGAATCTTAAATAACTAAATTAACCCTTTCACTCTAAGCCATAGCATATAAACAAAGATTTCATATTGAAGGTCAACATAAGTCCAGTGGAATTCCTGATAGGAAGTTTCTTATATTCCCTGGACATTGAGTCATAGGATTTCCATCTATGCTCTAAGGGAGTAGATGGTGTAGAAACACGTCCAGACATAGGGGCAAAACTTCCATCAAAAATTTAAATAGCATAGTAACATTTGTATAATTACTATATATGCTTTACAAAATGGATTTTGAAGTTATAAAATTTTTATTTTTAATTTTTATTAGTACATGTTTGCAACACATAATATTTACACCCCATGTTTGGAGTTAATACATGTATAAAACACATCTTAATTCCTCCTTTCATCCCCTTTCCCTCCACTTCCTGCCCCTCCCTCCATCTCTTGGTCCCCTTTCCATTTGAGAATTATCTATCCCCCTACTATCTATAATTTATCTTTTATTTTGCTCTTTTATTTTTATTAGGAGTTTCTCATATAAGAGACATCATGCAATATTTAAGCTTGTGTGTCTGATTTATTTCACTTAACATTTTGATCTCAAGGTGGATCCATTTTCCTACAAATGACTCAAGTTTACCTTTCTTTATGCCACACTAGTATTCCATTGGGTGTAAAAGCCACATTCTCTTTATACATTTATCTGTTGATGGACATATAGGCTGCTTCCAAAATTTAGCTATTATGAGTTGTACTGCTATAAACATGAGTATGCATGTATCACTGTAATTATGATGTCTTTACCTCTTTTGGGAAGATACCTGGAAAGGGAACAGCTGAGTCAAATTTCTAGTTTCAGTTTTTTTGAAGAACCTTCATTTAGTTTTTGAGGAATTTCTATGATGGTTGTACTAGTTTACATTCTCAACAACAATGTAGAAATGTTCCTCCTCCCACCCCCAGCCTTGGCAGCATTTGTTGTTTTCTGATTTCTTAATGATAACCATCCTTTCTGGAGTAAGATGGATCTCAGTGTTGTTTTAATTTGCATTTCTCTAATGGCCAGCGACACTGAACATTTCTTCATATATTTATTGGCCATTTGTACTTCTTCTATGAAGTGTCTATTCATTTCACTTGTCCATGTTTTTATTGTTTTGTTTTTTTATTTTGGGGGCATTAATTTTTTTGGAGTTCTTTATATATTCTAGATATTAATTCTCTGAGGAGTAACTGGCAAATATTTTTTTCCCATTCTGTAGATTGTCTCTTCACTCTGTTGATCATTTCCTTTGCTGTACAGAAGCTTTTTAATTTGGTCTGATCCCATTTATTGATTCTTGATGTTATTTCTTGTGCATCTGGAGCTCTATTCAGAAAGTCCTTGCCTATGACTTCAAGAGTTTTACCAATTTTATCTTCCAACAGAGTACATGATTCTGTTTTAACACAGACAAGAAGAGTATAGCTCTATGAAAATAAACTTCAAGACATAATCAGCATTACCCAAGCTTACTGTATTTGTCAGCTTTCTTGTTGTTAGGACAAAATACCCAACACCTGGAACTTAAAGGAGGCGAGGTTTAATTTCACTCATGGTTTCTTTCCATCGTGGTCAGCTCCAATGGAGAAACATCATGGCTGAAGGCCTGGGCAGAACAAAACTGCTCAGTTCATGATGGCCAGGAAGCAGGGCCAGGGAACAGTGCTAGCAAGATATATACCCTCCAAAGCAGTGCCCAGTGATTCACCTTCTAACAGCACATGCATCTGTTAATGTCAATGATCCAATCACTTCTCCAGGAGTCTCTTTTATTCCAGTCAACAATTACTATAATATTGACTGGCATAGTTACCCAGAACTTTTATGCTATGGGCCTATTTTTCTTCTTAGGTTGTCCTTTCTAAATTCTTAAAAAGTCTTAAAGTAATACAATATAAATCTGTAAATTGACCTGATTTTTCTTCCAATACAATTATATTAAATGCATAAATTCCAAAAGTTACATAGACTTTCATTTACAGAGAAAACAGTAGTATTACATGAGTACCATATTTCTAAACTACAATCACATATAAAAGGTTTGAAATCTAGATGATAGTCAGTTTTTCTGTAACCCATTAATTGGCACCCTGACCTTAAGGAAACAAACACACAGGAGCAAATAATAAAAAACTTAAAAAGTAAACATCCTAGATCAGTGATAGTGAACCTTTTAATGCTTTCAATGATACAAACGGCCCACTGTAGCATGGGTGCCGTAGGTTTGCCACCACTGTCCTAGATCATCCATCTTAAGTATACCCAAAGTCACAGAAATACCCCAACCCCAGACCACAGCGCATCTCATCCTCCAGCACACACACTCTATTTCCGTATGAATGTGTACTTTTTAATTATGCCTAATAAATTGACCTATGTCTTTCACTGACAAGTCCTGAAATTCTTTTCTGTGACAAAAGTCAAGAACCTCCCTGGTAGAGGTTCTCATCTTCTCTTTTTTTTTCTCCCTTCTTTGCCTTCCTTCTTCCTTCTCCTCTTCTTCCCCCCTCCCCCTCCCTTACTCCCTCCTCCCCCTCCTTCTTCTCTCTCTATCTCTCTGTCTCTATCTAATACTCTCTCTCTGCCCTCTCCCCCCCGCTTATCTCTCTCCCAAGGATTGAACCCAGAGCCTTCACACTGAGCTACATCCCTAGCCCATTTTTATTTTTTATTTTGAGGCAGTGTCTTGCTAAGTTCTTAAGTTGCCCAGGCTGTTTGAACTTCGATCCTCCTGCCTTAGCCTCCCAGTGTGCTGGGATTATAGTCTTGCGCCACTACACCCACCCCCCATATCCTCTTTATGGTGACCTCATTGGACCCTATCTGATGGCATTTCCAGCTACCTGGGGGGAGGCTGAAGCAGAAAGATCACTTAAGCCCAGGAGTTTAATGTTAGACTGGGCAGCAAAGTAAAACTCCATCTCAGAAAAGGAAAAGGCACTAAACCAAGATTTCACAGACAATGATACAGAGGTACAAAAACCACATGAATAAACACTCAAAATTATTAGTCAAAGAGATATTGCTATAAATACATCAAAATAGTTAAACTAAAAAGACAGGCAACACTAAATGTTAGTGGAGAGGTGGAGCAACTAAAACTGTTAGACACTGTGTACTAAGGTGTGTTGAAAACATCAGAATAGTTGTTGGCTTTTTTTTTTCTTAAGTTCTTTTATTGGCACATTTTAGGTATACAATTCATTTACATTTATCATTGGGTACTTGTACCTGTACATGATATATCTTGGTTCTTATTTTTTCCCCATTACCTGTCCTCCCTCCACTCCCTCCACCCTTCTCTATTTACAAAGACTTTGTTTCCATTTTTTCCTTTTCTCATAATTTTTCCTTTCCCTTTTTTCCTTTCCCCTTCCCCTCCCACTTCCCCTATCCCTTTAGACTTTTTCTTCATATTTCAAATTATCAATTCATTTTAATCATTATTTACACTTTCAGTTTCTCACACCAGAGAAACTATTTGGTATTTACACATATATGTCCTATTTATTTCACTTAAGAATACGGCCTCAATATGCATCTATTTAGCTATAAATGACTCTAGTTTCTCATTCTTTATGGCTGAATAGTACTCCATTTTATAAAAAAACCACATCTTCTTTATC